TTTTACCTATTTACTCAGTGTGACAATATATCTACAAAATTGTTTCCAAATTGCTACACCTGATCATTGCAAATAACAAAAATACTAACTAGTTCAAGATTTATTTGTAGTTCTTTTTGTCTTTACATTGAAGTTAGGTGGTCAGATGACTCTATTGAGTTATTTGGATTTTGTTTTCCTTCTGTGAGGTTATGTTACTCATTTGAAACATAGTTTTATATTTCTTTATAGTCAGTATTTACTTTCACACCAAATATGTGTTGACTTTATTTTTTAAATGTGTGGGTTTATTTTTTTTTCTTTTTTGGTTGGGCACGGTGGCTCATGCCCGTAATCCTGGCACTTTGGGTTTTTTTGTTTGTTTGTTTATTTTTTTAATCTTTTATATATTAATAGAGATGAGGTTTCACCATATTGGCCGGGCTCGTCTTGAACTCCTGACCTTAGGGTGATCTTAGGCCTTGGTCTCCCAAAGTGCTGAGATTACAGGTGTGAGCCACCATGCCCAGCCAGCCAGATTTAATTTTATTTTTAAATACATAAAATACATTAACAAAGTCCTCAAAAGTGCAGTGACTCTTGCCTGTAATCCTAGCACTTTGGGAGGCTGAGGTGAGTGGATCATGAGGTCAGGAGATCGAGACCATTCTGGCTAACACGGTGAAACTCTGTCTCTACTAAAAAAAATACAAATATTAGCCCATGTGTTTGCTTGCGCCTGTAATCCCAGCTACTTGGGAGGCTGAGGCAGGAGAATTGCATCAACCCGGGAGGCAGAGGTTGCAGTGAGCCGAGATTGCGCCACTGCACTCCAGCATGGGTGACAAAGTGAGACTCCATCTCAAAAAAAAGAAAAAAAAAAAGATAAAACTGTCAAAAAAAAAGTAAGATACTCAGAGAAGTCTTACTGTTCCCATCCACCCCTTTAGATAACCACTATCATTGGATTATGGTTATCCTTTCAGTATTTCTTTTTGAAAAAACAAGCATATTTATACAAATACTTCTTTCTTGCACAAATAGTATACTATGTATACTTATAATTTGCTTTTTTCACTTAATAATGTATCCTGAAAATATTCCATAGCAATTCTTGAAGGTCATTCTTTTTATTTTTTCCAACTGCATAGTATTCTGTTGTGTGGATGTGCTATAGTTTATTCAACCAATCTCCTGTGTTTGGGCATTTAGGCCGTTTCTAAAATTTTATGATTGGAAATAATTGTTCAGTGAATAATCTTGTGCAGTATTATTGCAAGTATATCATCAAGGTAAAGTCCTAGAAATAGGATTACAGGGTCAAAGGATAAATGCATAGGTAGTTTTATTAGATAGTACTCAATTTCTCACTATTGGATCTGTACCATTTTGCATTCCTGTCAACAATCTGCAAGTTTAGCTCTAACATTTTATGATTGTATGAAAATACTGTTCTTGGCTGGACGCAGTGGCTCATGCCTGTAAACCTAGCACTTTGGGAGGTCGAAACACTTTGGATCACTTGAGGTCAGGAGTTCAAGACCAGCCTGGCTGACATGGTGAAACCCTGTCTCCACTAAAAAAGATATAAAAATTAGCCAGGCATGGTGGTGCATGCCTGTATTCCCATCTACTCAGGAGGCTGAGGCAGGAGGATCGCTTGAACTCAGGAGGCGGAGGTTGCAGTAAGCCGAGATCATGCCACTACACTGTAGCCTGGGTGACAGAGTGAGACTCCATCTCAAAAAAGGGAAAATATTGTTCTTGACCAGGTGCAGTAGCTCACGCCTGTAATCCCAGCACTTTGGGAGGCTGAGGCAGGAGGAGGATCTCTTCAGCCAGGAGTTTGAGACCAGCCTGAGCAACATAGGGAGACCCCATCTCTATATTTAAAAGAAAAAATAATTGTTCTTGATTTCTAGGAAATTACATTCTAAGAAGTTAGTCTGGAGGATGAGAGTGGAATGTAATTGGGGGTTATCCAGTGATAGGATAAAATATTTATAAAGATAGAACTGTTACCAATTTTTACCATCCTTGGCTTAATGAAAATATTGTCTATACTTAGTTGTCTTAAACAATTTTCTTAGAAATAGACTATTTTTGCCTATTCTCTTGATAATTTGAATAGTACAGAATCAGTTCATGTTTGTTTTCTTTGTGCACTTAGGGTTTCTTGAATTCCTCTGAGCTTTCTAGACTTCCAGCGGGGCCTGACAGAGAAGGCTCACTCAAGGATCACTTGGCTTTAGCAATTGGTGAGTATTTGTAAAGGTTCTGGAAACTGGAAATCTTGTTTTTCCAAATCTAGGTCAAGAATCGTGTGCCTACAAGGGTCAGATGATATGTTAGAAGTGGTTTGTTAGATGTTAGGGAACATTAGGCATTTTGAAGAGCTTATACCCTGCTGGAGGAAGTCCCATTACCAAGCTCTAACCAGTTGTTACATCTAGGGAAATGGAGTCCTGGCGTCATCAGAATTTCTAAATTCCTTAAAAGTATTTAGATTTGTATCCAAAATCTCATGCGTTTTGGCTGTTGGCAACTAATTAAAATTATTTTCATCAACTGTGCCAACAAAACAAAGCATGTCTTTAGGCAGAGATGGCCTTTTGACTTCCAGCTGAGTACCTTTGTATATGCTATAGGGAACATAGTACCTTAAAGATGATTTCCTCTTCTTGATAAAGGGTTGCAGGACAATTGAGGGACATCGTATTTAAGAATTTTATCTTTCTTTTGAAAAAAATCTGATTGTGAATTTGTAGGGAAACAAATTTTAAAGCCTGCTGGCTGTAGGAACCACATGTGGATCATTGTGGTGGGACTAGTGGGGATCTTGCTTTCTTCCTAAGTATCCTTGATGGAGGGAGGGTGGTTGGAGCTTGCCGGGAATTTACTGTTCATCTGAAGTTTCCAGTTAAGTCATCAATTCTGTTTTTATCAGGTCATTTTGTATTATCTATGATGTTTCAATGAGTCATGGGTGAGAAACTAGGCAGACAGCTATGTATGGGGCTTATTAGGAAATTCTGGAAGAGCTGGGTGTTTTCAGCCTTGTCAGTTTCTGGGAATTAACTATTGTGTAGATGCTTCGAGCTATTTTAAAATTCGTTTTGGTTTCTGGAGTCTCCTTTTTCATGACTTTTAGATATTACTATGGCTAATCTAGGCATATTTATACAGACCCTTTTGTTTATTCTCCTAACCCTTTCTACCTTTTGGCTTATTTGGACTTCTGTTAGAAGGTAATAGCATCCTGAGAGAAAGGGGAAAAATTACAATTACAATCTGTTTAATGTTCTTGTAAATAACTCTGAAAATGTTATCTTTTTATTTTTGATGAGAGGAAATTGAAACTATCAGATGACATGGGGCTTTGACTTTTTCCTGATACATGGATGATCACGAGTTGTCTGTGTCAGTTATGGAGTATTCAGGATGGTGGGAAAAAGCACTTAATTGCTTTGGAGTCAGATCTGAGTTTTAATTCTAGCTCTGCCTTGTGTTGTTGGCTGGGTTACCTAAGTACTCTAAACCTAAGCTTATTGTAATAATAGCTAGCTTTTGAGTGCTCACTATGTGCCAGATACTATAGTTAATGCTTTTACAAATATTATTTAGTTGGTGCTTCATAAAGGTATTCTTCACTTATCCCACTCTCACCACCCCCATACCTCTTTTCCTCTTTATATAAAAACTGAAAATGGTGTCTCTCCATCTTACTACATATCCTGTGTAAATGCAAAGGGACTGTCTTCCGAACAGGGCCTCTTCTGTGCATATTTTGGTACAATCACAAACAACATAATTTGTTGGTGTGTTGGTTTTTTGTTTTTTGCTTTTTTTTAATAGGAAAACTGGGAGAAAACATGACTCTTAAACGAGCTGCATGGGTGAAGGTGCCATCTGGGTTCTACGTTGGCTCTTATGTCCACGGAGTAATGCAGAGTCCCTCCCTTCACAACCTGGTGCTGGGGAAGTATGGGGCCCTGGTCATCTGCGAGACATCTGAACAGAATGCAAACCTTGAAGACATTGGCCGCCGCCTTGGGCAGCATGTGGTGGGCATGGCCCCTCTCTCTGTTGGCTCCCTGGATGATGAGCCTGGGGGAGAGGCAGAGACGAAGATGCTGTCCCAGCCCTACTTGCTGGATCCCTCCATTACCTTGGGGCAGTATGTGCAGCCTCAGGGTGTGTCAGTAGTAGACTTTGTGCGGTTTGAATGTGGAGAAGGTGAAGAGGCAGCAGAAACTGAATAGGTTCCAGAGACTTTTGGCCCAGGGGGAGTATTTGTTTTTAGATCTGAACATCATTACAAAAAGGATTTTTTCCCAAGCCTCTTCAGACCCAGAATTTATTTTTCATTTGAATTATAATGAGATTATAGACTTCATGGGTAAAATTATTAAATAGTTATATAATAAAAATAATTTTTTCCTTGTTTGCATAATACTGGGTTTAGCTTTTCTATGTCTTACTTGTGACGGCTTTTGAAAATAACCTTATTGATAGGCCTTACTGACATGATTGACAGTGTCTCGGAGAATGGGCATCAACATTCTGCTGCTCCCTTCAACATAGATTTATTATGGTATTTCTTAAATTTCTATCTTACGTGTTCTGTCTTACCCCTTTTATGACATAGAACTCTTTTGTTCTGCTTTCACTTTGCGACATTGGACCATGCTTCTGCCTTGGAACCTCCCTAGTTATATTACTTCTGCCACATGGATTTCTTTGGGATTATTTATTCAAGCCTAGAGTTGTCTGGAAAATTTGGGTTCTTTTCTTTGTAGATGTCTGTAGCATGCTTTGAAGGCTCTCTGCAGTGGTAGACACACTGGTTCTGCCATCATTTAATGAAATTAATAACATATGCCCCTGTTTATCTTTTGGATGATGTGGTGTGGGTGGGTGGGTGGGTGGGTGGGTATTGAAGTTTCCTGGCCAGCTATAAGGCAGATTTTGACATTCTTGTGCCAGACACAGAAATTAGAGTAGTCCAGTTATCCAGAGACCTCACTTAACATTGCCTTTTTACTTCCCCAGTACTGAAACATTTCTTCCAATATAATAAAATTACCATAACAAGCAAACCCTAAATACTGAAAATAACTTCATTTGTTCATTATAGGTATCTTCATTTGAAAAGTTAAAAATGCTTTGACACATAATAGATCTGGCCATTTGGATTTCAACCTTGGAGTGTATATATGATTTCCAATGATTTGCAGGTTAAATAGATTTTAGAAATAATGATCTTAAAATTTAAAACCAAGGTAGGTCCTGGAATAATATTAAACATAAAAAGTTATTACACATTTTAAGCCTTGTTTTTTGGTTCTCTTTCTTCTAATTTTTCCAGATTTCTGCAGTTTTAGTGCTTTCTGCTGAGGCTTTAGCTAGAGAGCCGCAGAACCCAAAAAGTGTGTGGTTAACATTTTAGGTATATAACAACCAAGGAATGCAAAGTGAGAAAAAATGGAGAACATGCTGTGATTTGCAGACTCTATTATATCTAATTAAGTAGCTGAATGTCAGGCAGAAATTGGTAGATAAATTCTTTGTTGATTCTGGCACTATCTGCTCTCTTCTGTGGCCTTACAGTAGGCATAGGCCTTCTTGCTTTAGAAAAGCCCCTTTTCTTTCTTCAATTGGAGCTGTTTCCAGCCAGGCAGAGCAGCAAATTGCCCTCTTGTGATGCCAAAGACAGACACAAAGTCGAGTTCAGAGAGGTAATTCTAAAAGCGAAAACAAAGTTTCTAGTTAGAAGGAAGACATGACATCATTGCTGACAGAGGTGGGGAAAGTCAGCACAAGAGGGAGTTCTAGGTGGATCCTTGAAGAGGGAAGTAGAATGCATTTCTCAGAAAGGCTCTTAGAGATTTAAATTATTCATTGGAGAGGTGTTCTTCAGGTCACAGAGTCCCATTTCGGCCTGCTGCAGAAGCTTACTGGATTCCTTGCACTCACAGTGCCAGCAAGGACCAGTTTCTTGCCAGAAGACAATAAATGGGTTATGTATTAAGGATGAATTATAGACATCACATTTTGGCAGAATGAAGAACTAAATTGATCCAAGGTTTTCTGCCCATAACCACCATTTTTACCCAGAAATTTTCAAATGCATGATCGGGTGGATCTTATTCAGCTCAAAATTCTCCTAAGCATTTACTTAATGATGTATTGCATATATGTATACAAGTAAAGATTATTAATATATGGTCTCTGCTTTCAAGAAAATTGTAGTCCAGATACTTAAGAGTTGCCTAAATAAGACATTGTGGGAAATCCAGAGTCCCTTCCCAAGTCAACTTCTTCAAGGGGAAAATAAATTTATTATTCTTTTTTAGAGATGGAGTCTTACATCACCTGGGCTGGAGTGCAATGGCACGATATTGGCTCACTGCAACGTCCGTCTCTCTGGTTCATGCAATTCTCCTGCCTCAGCCTGCGATTACAGGCATTTTGTATTTTTAGTATAGACAGGGTTTCACTATGTTGGCCAGACTGGTCTTAAAATCCTGACCTTGTGATCCTCCAGCCTTGGCCTCCCAAAATGCTGGAATTACAGGTGTGAGCCACCATGCCTGGCTAGAAATTTATTTTTTTAACTCAAATATGTTAATTCAAGCAAAACTTGAGTTCTTGCTATTTGCTAGGCACTGTTGTACGTGCTGAGAAGCCGAGACTATGATGGTGAACAAGACAGACAAAGGTCCTTCCTTTTAAGGATATTACTAGAGGGGGAGATAGGCAGTGAACAAGCACACAGGGTCTGGAGCAGGTATGGGAAGCAGTATCAGGGTGGTCAGGAAATGCGTCCCTGGGGAAGTGACATTGGGGCTGAGACCTACATGATGAGAAGGTGCTGGTGCTGTGATGATTTGGGAGATGGATGTTTTTTTCAGGCACAAGCACTAGCAAGTGTAAAGGCCTAAAGGCTGGAATACCCATGTTTAAGGAACAGAAAAGCAGCCACTGCCCTGGCCAAAGGGTAGTAAGTGAAGAGAGTGTTGGTATATGAAATGCAGTCAGAGAGGTAGGCCAGATTGTATAGGCCTTCAGATTCTTTTTTTAAGTGTAGTGGCAAGCTATTTGAGGTGTTTTAAACAGGACAGTGCCATATGTTTTAAAAGATCCCTTTGGCTGTTGCGTGGGGAACGGATTGTAGGAACAGGTGGAAACCAGTTGGACTGTAGTAAGTAGTCCATGATAGCTGGACTAGACTAGTAGCAGAGAGATGGAATGGACAGAAGCTAGCTGATAGATTTATGTAGGTGGAGAGAAAAGAAGAAAGAACTCTGTTTTTTCGGCTTGAGCTCCTGGGTAGCTCAGGTGTCCATTGAGCACCTATAACGTGCTGGAACTGTCCTAGGCCATTTACTGAGATGAGTGCTTTACTCACAGAAAGCTCTGCTTACAACAGACACAGTTCCTTCAGCCACTCACCTCCTTTTTGGCGGGGTTTACGTCCTCAGGCAGCTCCTGATTCTGGTTTTTCAACAGAACTGCTATAGGGTAATATTTTGGCTCACCATCATTAGAATTCAGGAAGAGGGTTGCATTCTTCATGTCCTAGGTAAGATAAGAATGTAGTCACAGGGAAAAGACTCCTCAGTCTCTGTGTGGTTACAGTTCTGAATGTGTGTAATATTTAACATTTTGATTTATGCCACTTCACCCTCTGTAACAATCTTTCAGAACAATGGTCCCCAAACCTGGCTGCATGTCAGAGTCATCTGGGAATAGAAAATATTCAGATTTGGGGGTTGTTATTGGGAAAGCTGATTCATTAAGTCCAAGGCAAGCCCTGTATAGCCAGTTTTGCATATATGCTGTGCCTGAATCTCATTTGAATATTGGGATCACATACCTTCTCTTGATACTTTTATTTAGCCCTGCATTTCCAGCCTTTTAAAAAAGTCTTCCAGCCTCTTAAAAAAGTCATTTAAAGGCTGGAACATCAACATTAGCTTTGGAATCTGAGTTTGTAGAGCACAAAGGACAGAATTGCCAGATGGTTTGAACACCTGGTGCCATGCACTCCTGAGGTTAAAGAACTGCTGGATTCCTGGCCAGAGGCTCCACTTCTTTTAACCATTAAAATAGCTGTAAATGGCCTAAGTTTCTTTGGACTTCACTGTCAGAAACGAACAAAAATGTCATTTGGGTTAGAAGCTTATTTTTTCTGAAAAATACTGCCAATGACTTTAATCTCTCCAAAATGGCAGAGTTGAATACACAACAAATTTTCATTTTTGTTGTTGTTGTTCAGATGGAGTCTTGCTCTGTCACCCAGGCTGGAGTGTGCAGTGGCGTGATCTCAGCTTACTGCAACCTCGGCCTCCTGGGTTCAAGTAATTCTCCTGTCTCAGCCTCCTGAATAGCTGGGACTACAGGCATATGCCACCAACCCCCACCCCCTGGCCAAGTTTCATATTTTTAGTAGAGATGGGGTTTCACCATATTGGTCAGGCTGGTCTCAGACTCCTGACCTTAGGTGATCCACCAGCCTCGGCCTCCCAATGTGCTGGGATTACAGGTGTGACAAACCCCATTTTTGTTGTTTTTAAACAGCAAGTCTATTTGAAAACCCAGAAGTCAGGAAAATAAGGAACTTGGCTCTGAGACCTGCTTTCTATTGATTACAAAAAATCTTTACATCAAAACAGACAACCACAGTAATACTAAGGAGGACATGAGTTTTGCTCATGAGCATCTGTAGCATTTCCAGGTTCTTTTTGACTCTGGTTGCCTGTATGGCTGGCTTCTCCAAGAGCAAACCCGACTTACAGTGGTGATTTGCATGATAGCAGCAGCATCTCCCAGCTCTTCTTTTAATTGTTCATATGATTTTCCTGCCTAAGAAGAAGAGATAGAAAACACAGTATGAGGTCTTTCTTATCGGGGAGGTACATCGTAGGCCTGGTCTGTGTTGTCATGAAAAACAAAAAAAGCCAGGGATTCAGAAGACATTTCAAGGATAGGTAAAAATGAAAATACCCCCTTTTGGGTCCATGCAGGCTTGAAAGGTGCTTAAACATAATGTACATTCTTTGATGGTAACCCCTCAGTCCTCCCAATACGATTTAAGAAAGAGCAGTCGAAGCTGGGTGCGGTGGCTCACGCCTTGTAGTCCCAGCACTTTGGGAGGCCAAGGCTGGTGGATCACCTGAGGTCAGGGGTTTGAGACCAACCTAACATGGTGAAACCCCATCTCTACTAAAAATACGAAAATTAGCCAGGCGTGGTGCATGCCTGTAATCCCAGCTACTTAGGAGCCTGAGGCAGGAGAATTGCTTGAACCTGGGAGGCAGTGGTTGCAGTGAGCTGAGATCATGCCATTACACTCCAGCCTGGGTGACAAGAGTGAAACTCCATCTCAAAAAAAAAAAAAAAAGCTACTTGATTAGGAGTCAGGAAACCTGGCCTTCTCTTGATTAACTGTGACTTTAGACAAATAACTTATCTTCTTAGCTTACTTATCAATAAAACAGGAAACAATACTTCTACTGGCTATCAGGATTATAGTGAAGATCAAAAAGATGATGTATATGGATACAGTTTATAAACTGTTTATACTTCACACTGTTTATTGCTGAGACCTGCTGTGAATTATCTGCCTGGACTTACTGCAGTGGCAGGTGAAAAAGAGGAGAAAAGTAAAATGCAGGGAGTAGAATGGGAGTACAGAAATGAGGTCCTGGTTTCATTGAGCCGTGAATCAGTACCCCACCTTCCCAATGAGCTGTTAGTTCTAAGCTACCACTCTCTTTTCTTACACTCCAAATGTTAGGGTCCCAGGCCAGGAACCAGCCTGTGAAGATGGGAGGCTCAAACCCCTGTTTAATGATCAGGATTGGTGTGTCGGGATCTCGGCCGCTGGGGTGAGTGCCCAGGTACTGCTGCGATGTGGTAAGGGCGCTCTCCTTCTCTGTGGCATTGGCCTCAGCCCCAATCCACAGGAACACCTGTTACAGTAGAGATTTCATATATGTTACTGTGTTCATAGCAAGGACTAAGTACTAGATCATACACATTACTCTGTCTTTCCCCTTTCTTTCGTGAGCAATTCACAGCCTCAGAAAACTTTCTCAGCATAATTTGTTCAACAAAGAAAGGTTTTCCCAGAATCAGCTTGTTCTTCATCATTTTAATTGCTGTATGTATCTTCCAGATCTGCATTTCCAAATCGGAGCGGTCTCTGAACTTCAGCTTCCTGAACACCACTTCTTGCAGAACATATCCTCTTAACTGCTCTAAGCACCTTAAAGATAACACCCTCAAGATGTAGCTCTTCTTTGCTAAACTTGTATTTATCTGAATCTCCACTTTTGATAAGTGGTATCCATCTAGTCACCTAAGGCAGAAACCTGGGAGTTTCCTAGAAATCCCCCATACCAGTGAGTCACCAGGGCTGACCACCTTTACCACCTAAGCACTTGTCAAATCTGTCACCATCCCTCCATCCCTACTCCAGTGCCCTTATGTAGTAAGCCCACAGTAGCTCTTACTTGACCATGACAATAGTCTACTGATCGCCTTTGTTCCCCCAAAGGCCATATCGTCTGCATGTGGAGTCTGTTGCTATTGATCCTAAGATTAAAAAGTGCATGATTATAGGATAGCTTGATTTTTCCAAAGCAAGGTGGGAAAATGCCCAGGATGGTGAGTTTCAAGCATCACTCTGTTCTCTCCACCCCTGGCAAAAAAAATCCCAGACTTTCTTTTGGTCACTATTGACAAAGGTTTGAGTTGGGGATGGTGCAAGGCTACCCTGGGTTTATTCTAGGGTGGGGATACTACACACAAACAACCCTTACTATAGGAGTCTTTGTCATGTTTGGAGTTCTGCAGCTGTGTCTTACCTGGTCCCAGGTATCTAGGAGCATCACGTCACTGGGGTTCAGGTCATCCTGGGTGAAGTCTGTGATCTCAGTGACAATGAATTGGCCAGTCTTATTGGAACATTCAAAGAGACGGGACTGGACATCTAGGATTTCCTGCTGAAGTCTGCAATACAATCCATTTAAGGGCACCAAACTGCTTAGAAATGTTTGTAAAACTGTTTTAGCCTTTGTGCAATTCACAAGACTGGCAGGCAGGGGGAGCCCAGAAGAGGAGGAGGCTCTCTTCCCATACCTTTTATCATTGGCATAGGGAGTTTTTCCTCCCAGTAGGTCCCAGAACTCGGCTGGCTCCTGGCCTTCGGCCACAGTGTTCTCGCTGCCATCACAGAGAAGGCTGGCCAGCTCCTTAGCCATTGCCCGCTCGTCCCCACTAGACCCCTGAGAGTGGGGCGAGGAGAGCACAGGTGTTAGTTGCAAAAGGGCATTTTGATGTGGAAAGAGAAGCATCTGAGACTAATAACTCAATGTGCTAGGGAGAATCAGCTACCAAGCCACAGTCCCTCAGCCTGGGAAGACAGACAGGTTTGTTCTAGTGCTGGGGAGTGGGGAGGAAAACAGTGTGGGACGAAGAAAAGAACTAGGCTCTGAAACCCACAGTGGGTGTTGGCAAAAGTCACCTTTGTTTCAGCTTCAGTTGGAATTTAAGCACCTACTTTTGATTTTTTTTTAGCAAAAAGTATAAATTTATTTTTAAAAATATGTATAGTATACTCTTTTGGCATACAATTCTAAGGATTCTGACAAACACATAGAATCATGTTAGTACCACCACAGTAAAGGCACAGAACAGTTTCTTCCTCAGTCCCAAAATTATCTGGGGCTGCTTCCCCTTCGGAGTCAAAGCCTCCCTGAATCCTTAACCTCTGGTAACCACTAATCTATTCTCCATCACTAGTTTTGCCTTTTCCAGAATGCTATAAATAGAGTCATACAATATATATCCTTTGAGTCTGGCTTCTTTTTCTTAGCAGAATGCATTTGAGATCTCTGTTGTGTTTACCAGCGGCTCATCCCTTTTTATTGCTGAGTGGCATTCCATCATTCAGAAGTACTACTGTTTATCTGTTGGGTTGTTTCTGATTATGAATAAAGGTGTTATAAACATTTGTGCACAGGTTTTTGTTATTTTATTTAATACCTAGGAGTAGGATTGCTGGATCATATGGTAAATGATCCAGCAATGTATGAATCATTTACTTTAACTTTATGAGAAAGTGTCAACTGGGTACGGTGGCTCACCCCTGTAATCCCAGTACTTTTGGAAACTGAGGCGGGTGGGTCATCCAAGGTCAGGAGTTTGAGATCAGCCTGGGAAACGTGGTGAAACCTTGTATGTACTCAGAATACAAAAATTAGCTGGGCATGGTGGCACACGCCTGTAATCACAGTTACTTGGGAAACTGAGGCAGGAGAATTGCTTGAACCCAGGAGGCGGAGGTTGCAGCGATCCAAGATTGCACCACTGCATTCCAGCTTGGGCAACAGCATGAGACCCTGTGTCAACAACAACAAAAAAAGAAAACTGTGGAAATGTTTTCCAAAAGGTGTACCATTTTGCAGTCCTGCCAGCAGTGCATGAAAATTCCCATTTCTCCGCATCTTTGCTCACATTTTATGTTGACATTTTTTTTTAGCCATTCTAAAAGATGTGTAGTGGTTATCTCATTGTAATTTTGATTCGCATCTCCCTAACGATGTTAAGCATCTTTCCCTATTCAATTCTTTTTTGTAAAACAATTTTAGCACATGTTATTTTATTTTATTTTTCTTGAGATGGAGTCTCGCTGTGTCGCCCAGGCTGGAGTGCAGTGGCACGCTCTTGGCTCACTGCAACCTCTACCTGCCGATTCAAGCAATTTTCCTGCCTCTGCCTCTTGAGTAGCTGGGATTACAGGCAAGCACCACCATACCTGGTTAATTTTTTGTATTTTTAGTAGAGACGGTGTTTTACCAGGCTAGCTAGGCTGGTCTTGAACTCCTGACCTCATTATCCACTTGCCTTGGCCTCCCAAAATGCTGGGATTACAGGTGTGATTCACGGCACCTGGCCTTAGTGCATTGTAATGCACTATTGCAATATGAATTGACATCATATTTTGTATTTTTGTTCGGTATTAGTGCCTGTCTGTTAGAGTCCACCAAGCTCACATGGGAAGATTGACTTATCCAGCTTCCATCTGCATAGAAGTTTATGAGATGTCTGCTGGGTGTAAGCAGGGCTTTCAGTGAGTTTCTAATTGGAGTCTGATTGTGGGGAATGTTGGTGATCCCTTTGAAGATTCCTCAGGAAAAAGGCTTCTCTTTTTGAGGACTGCTCTAGCTTACTCTTTTTTTTTTTTCCTGAGGAGTATCACTCTGTCACTCAGGCTGAGTGCAGTGGCATGATCTCAGCTCACTGAAACCTCTGCCTCCCAGGTCCAAGTGATTCTTCTGCCTTGGCCTCCCAAGTAGCTGGGACTACAGGCATGCCCCGCCTGGCTAATTTTTATATTTTTAGTAGAGATGGGTTTTCATGTTGGCCAGGCGGATCTCAAACTCCTGACCTTGTGATCTGCCCACCTTTGCCTCCCAAAGTGCTGGGATTACAGGTACTGCACCTGACTTTTTTTTTTTTAATGTGGAATGCTTCATGATTTGCATGCCATCCTTGCGCAGGGACCATGCTAATCTTCTCTGTATCGTTCCAATTTTAGTATATGTGCTGCTGAAGTGAGCACTCCAGCCTACTCTAGGCCCTTTGACCTTGCTGACAGGAGGAGGGGAGTGTGGGTCTGGGCCCCGAGGGGCTGGTCTGACCCCTGGGCCTAGCCATCCTACCTTGCCATACCACAGGTAGTGCTCTGTCTGAGTTCGCAGCAGAAAGACATCATTGGAGTTTAGGGAGGAGGCAAAGGCTGGAACCTCCACTGCTTTGGTGTTAGATTTGTCATTTCCACGAATTTGGAAGAGTCTTACTGGAGGGTCGGGCTCAGCATTTCCCTTCCTGGAAGTCCCACCCTAGAGAGAAGAAAAGCAGAGTCCAGATCTAAGGAGCACTGTGTGAGCAAAGTGCTAGATGAGCTGTTGTGGGGAACGTGATTGTTGTGTTGCTATGTTTGCCCTTGAGGAGCTTCTAAGCTCACTGGAAAGGGTCAGGGCTTGCTGGAGTTATGGTACCAATAATAACAGCTTTCATTCTGAGAACTTTATCATATACCAGGCTCTGTGACTGGTGCTTTACCTACATTATTTCACTGATCCTCATGATAACTCTATGAAGTAGATGTTATTATTCCACAGTACAGATGAGGAAACTGAGACTTAGAAACTTGACTAGTATATGACAAGGCTAGGACTTGACCCCAAATTTGTGTGATATCAAGCATGTGACATTGCTTGGTAGTGCCTCAGCCAGGGCTTCATAGAAGAAGTGGGACTTGAATTTGAAAGGGCACATTTGGGCCAGGCGTGGTGGCTCACACCTGTAATCCCAGCACTTTGGGAGGCCGAGGCAGGTGAATGACAAGGTCAGAAGTTCAATACTAGCCTGCCCAACATAGTGCAACCCCGTCTCTACTAAAAATACAAAAATTAGCCTGGCATAGTGGCAGGCACCTGTAGTCCCAGCTACTTGGGAAGCTGAGGCAGGAGAATCACTTGAACCCTGGAGACAGAGGTTGCAGTGAGCTGAGATTGTGCCACTGCACTCCAGTCTGGGCGACAGAGTCAGACTCCATTTAAAAAAAAAAGAAAGAACGGGCACATCTGCAGTGGGAGGGGTATGGTATGGCACATGTGAGGTCTAATGAGGAGACCCGCCTGACTGGAGTGGAAGGGGCAGGTTAGGGAGCTGAGGGAAGTGCACCTGCACAGGTAAATGGGTCAGGTTATGAAAGACCTTGAACATAATCAGATAGGAGTTCAGACTTGAAGCCCTAGGCAGTAGGGATTCACTTGACTGTCTTAGAGGGATTAACCTCCTTCTTTCTGTGTCTAGTACAAGTTTTACTCCCTACCCCGTCCCTCCTCTCCTCTCCAATGTTAGTTTGGAACATTCCAGCTCATGGGGTAATTTTATCAGAGCGTCCTCACCTCAAAGATAACTAGCTTCCCTTTGAAGATGGCCATGAAGTGGCGTGGTTCCGTCCCCATCCTGACTCGAACCTGCACAGCGGCCCCATCAAACTGCCGATCCACCTCCACTGCCTGGAATGCTGAGGCTGCCAGCTCATCCTGTGAGGCGTGGCGGCCCTGCAATGGTGAGAGAACATGAAGGACCCATGCTTCCTGCCCCAGCCCAGTGGCCAGAGGACGTATCAGGATCCAAAGCTGAAGCCTGTGACAGGCCTACCTGCCAGATGTACAAGATGTAATGCGGCTTCCCGTTCACCTCATATGTGTAGAGGACCAGATAACAGTCTCCCCCATAAAAGAAGCCATACCATTGATATTCCACGGGGACCAGCTCCAGGTTCTCAATTCTCCAGACCTGGGCATGGAAGGAGACACCGTTTTCCAGAGATGGGGGGGCTGGGAGGGGGATGGGCCATGCTAAAGAGAGAATCCAGGTGGGGAAGGTGCTAACGTTTACTCCCATGTTCTCTTTCTCTCTCTGGTTCTCTCCCACTGGTGAGGACTCATCACATTTGCATGATTTGAATCCTAAGATTAACTGGGCCTTCCTGGTCAGGAGCATCCTGTCATGCCTTGGTCTTTGCAAGGCTGAGCGATGATTTGAATATATCTTCCAGGTGCGATATCAGCAGCATATTTGAGGATGTGCGTTTCACCCCCCTGAAAACTCTACACACTCACAAGACTCTTAGAGAAGGTTGTTGAGGTGCCGGAGGGGAAAGAGAAAGCAAAGCAGACCCAGAATCACCTGCACCCCTGACCCCAGCAGGCCAGCCAGGAAGGCCAGTGCTGCTGCCTGCCCTGACGTTTGAATCATTGGGCCTACCTCGACTTTTCCGTCGCCATCATCGACCATTCTTTCCTGGGCAGCTACCTCTGGCTTTGTGTGGAGCAGAGTCACATCAAACTTATCCTGGAAAACTTTAGCTGTGGAGAAAGGGTTGGGAAAAGCTGAGTGAGTAAGAAGCATCTGTGCCTGTCTTTATAGAGAGACCCAGCAGTGAGAGGATGATTGGGGGCAATCTCACCAGTTTTACCAATGCTGAATGTTTTCCCCAGGCCCATGGTCTGGTCCTTTACTGACCACTTCTGGAACAGCTGCTTGAACATGGCTGACTCAGCACCATCGTTGACAGTCTCCACGTTGGTGCTGCTGGGGTAGCCCTTCATCTTGATGAAGCCCTGTAGAGCCACCCATTCCCAAAGGCAGGTCAGTCATGGAGTATACTGAGTTCTTTGCCTGGTAATTCACCTCTTTGAAGGTGCATAATAAGATCCCTCCCCTATGGGAATCTGAGTCAGATTCTAACTCCCTTCTGTCTAAGGACAAAGTTACTTGCCTAAAAAAAAATGACTGAGTGGAACATTTTTGGATCTCTTTATTGGCTTGTGGTGATTATGATTGTTTATTTTTTGGAAGATTACCCTGTGTTCTTTCAGCACTTCTGTACTTACTTTGTATTGCATTTGTTTGCTCATTTATTGCTTTGTAAATGCATCTTGCTTAGTTCATCTACATGGATCTGCACAAATATAAGCTCCTTGAGGACAGGGTCATTAACCTCGATAAGTGATATTTCCTTCAATAATAATAGCCACCTTTTATTGAGCAGGTGCTGTGTGCCAAGTAGTGTTCTGAGTGCCTTTTTTTTAAGGCAGAGTCTCTCTCTCACCCAGGCTGAAGTGCAGTGTGTGATCTCGGCTCACTGTGACCTCTGCCTCCTGGACTCAAGTGATTCTCCTGTCTTAGTGCCCCGCCAAGTAGCCAGGACTACAGGCATGCACCACCATGCCTGGCTAATTTTTTGTGTGTTTTTAGTAGAGATGGGGTTTCACCATGTTGGCCAGTCTGATCTTGAACTCCTGACCGCAGGTGATCTTCCTGACTTGGCCTCCCAAAACACTGGGATTACAGGCATGAGCCACTGTGCCCAGCCCTGAGTGCTTTACAAATGATATTTAATCCTCACAATAACCCTAAGAGATGGGTATGATCCTCATGTTAGATATGGGGAAACTGAGGCCCAGTAGTCTTCCCCAGAGCACTCAGCCGGAAAAGGCAAAACCTGAATTTGAATCCCAGTTTGTCTGTCTGACTCTGCAGTCCATGTGTGTAACCACAACTTTTTTTTTTTTTGAGACGGAGTTTCGCTCTTGTTACCCAGGCTACAGTGCAATGGCGCGATCTCGGCTCACCGCAACCTCCGCCTCCTGGGTTCAGGCAATTCTCCTGCCTCAGCCTCCTGAGTAGCTGGGATTACAGGCATGCGCCACTATGCCCAGCTAATTTTTTGTATTTTTAGTAGAGACGGGGTTTCACCATGTTGACCAGGATGGTCTCGATCTCTTGACCTCATGATCCACCCGCCTTGGCCTCCCAAAGTGCTGGGATTACAGGTTTGAGCCACTGCGCCCAGCCATAACCATAATGTTATATGCTCAAATGCCTAGCATGGCTCTGTGAAATGACACATCTGGAGTGCTCTTAGCAGAATTATTTGAACAGTATTGCACATCTGTAGCTCCTACCAGTGCTTTAGACATGGCTGCCTGTTTTTCAGCCTTTGTGGCTCTTTTTCCTTTCCACACGTATATCTTGGTTCCACTTTGGTCCAGGATGTAGCAGTCCTAAAGCAGTCAGAGATAGGTATGGTTGCTCAAGGTCAGAAGGAAGATTCTTGCTCAGGGTCTGCTTCTGAAGCAGGTCTGGCTACCCAAAGCTAAGTCCGCCCAAACTCTACTTACATCATGGTTCAGTAAGTCCTGGACCAGAGGCCTCGTTGCTACCTCTGTGACCTGCAGCTGCCCAGCTGAATCTGAGACACTGGAGAAGAGGAGAGGTTAGCCTGTGCTTTTTCCTCTATAAAACATCTTGTAGTCAACTAGATGTTGTTCTGTTTTGTTTTAGTTTGGCGTTTCTGGGTAGAATGTGACTTCTTAAGACAGTCATGGCTTGAGTGAAGATAGGAATGTGCAGACTCTTTTCTCTGGTGGATACTTTTGTTTATCTCTCTCCCAAACATTATCCCTTCTACATCCCTGGGCATGTGTAGGGCAGAGTAAAGGAAAGGCCTCCTCAAGAGTTCAGGAGAGTTGCTAACAAGAACAACTGCCTCCTTGAGCGAGGGATCTCCAAGCTTTCTAGGAGCTGCATTTGGAAAGGACTGAGAAGAAACCCAGATGGCTACACCCAAAACAAGGAGCCAAGCAGAGGTGGCTGGTATTCTAGGGGACACCTTCCCCCCACCCCAGCTTCCAGCTAAAGTCAGGTTTAGCTACTCACTGATACAACATGATATTTGATTTCTGCTGCTGATCTATGATCTCATCAGGGACTGCAGGCTTGATAATGGAGCGTCGGCCAAGGGTGTCCTGAAGGACCTTCATCAGCTCTGGGCTGGCTGCCTCCTTGTCTCCCTCAATCACTCCTATTTCAGCACGGCCCCCTCGCTCCCTGTCTCGAATATCCTTTGCCAGAAGCATAGCCTGTCAAAGAAGCCCAAGGAAGCCATCAGCTCCACTGGGAACCCTTTCTGCCTGATGTCTTTTGGGAAAGCAGCCTAGATCCCAGACACAGGAGTTATTAGGATGCTGAGGAGTCCAGGGTGAGTTACAAACTCACACACTTGGCCTGTCTCCAAGACAGATTCCACTCAAAGGCAGGGCTCCCACTTGATTCTTGGGGAAGAGCCAGCATGGAGGGAAGAAGAAAGAGGAACATGAGAGTGCTAAGGCTAGGAAGCCATACCTTCAGGCGCTCCCCACTGTTGCTCTCTGGGCCATTCCATTGGATGATGACTTTCCCAAGGTCCAGCAAGAAAACATCGCCTCGGTTGAAACTGTCCCAGCTCATTTCCACCTATAGATGAGGGGTAAACATTTTTCAGGAGGAATTCTTAGGTCCCAGGTGGAGAAGCCCTGGGCCTGGGGCAGACAGTGTGCAGGACTGACCTCGGTGGCCCTGATGTTTCTTTTCCCCTTCACATGTAGCAGCCGCTTCACGTTGTAGGTGTTGGTCTCCATGTGCTTCATACCAGAGGCGACACCTCCCTTCTTGTAGCTGAGGGAACATCCATTAGTTGTTAGAGTGCCTGCTATGTGCTAGGATCTGGGAGACAGTGGTGAATTACACAGATGCAGCCTCACTCGTGTGATTATGACAGTACATCAGCAAGGTATGTACAGATGGTGGCAACTGCTGCCCTACAAGTAGACTGGGTGAGTGACTTTCTGGTAGTGAGGTGGGGCAGGCTTCTCTGAAGAAGTGACATTTGAGCTGAGATACTACAGGGTAAATGAACCAATACCCAGAGTAATAGTGCTTCAGGCAGAGGAGACATCAGTGATGAAGACCCCTGCAGCACAGAGGGCTTGTTTTGTTCCAGGAACTGTCTGAATGTCAGTGTGTCACTTCGAGAGGGGCACAAGTTGGGCTGCAGCAGAAGCATTAATGACTTGACAGCCTTAAGACCACCTATGCTCAGAATCAGCTCCCCGACCCAGGCACAGCCCAGCCCAGCCTCTGATCCAGGGGTCCTGCACTTTAAGGAAATTCAGAAGGTAACCCTGGAGCAGAGGGGCTTTGTCCTGGGGTTCCCCAGTGGCTCAGTGTGCTCCTCTGTGCCCAGAAGGGCCTCTGTCAGTGGAGACTGCCGACCTGCAAGAAGCTGATCTTGGCCCGGCCTCACAATTCTCAAGCTCATTGGAATTCCTCTTTTTGTTTTAATGTCAAGGGCAAAGTTTTGAATTAAAGTTCTCAGTTGATGAAACATCATCATCATCGACCTGCACTCCCTCTCTTGTGTTATGTGTCTGTGTATTCCCTTTATATGCATGCCCTGCTTCCACTCCTTCCCCCATGTATGTTTCCATTCTGTTGTTTTTATTTTCATTCTAGTAAACTATGCTCCCCCCCACCAACTGTTTTTTTTTTTAAAGACAGGGTCTCACTCTGTCACCCAGGCTAGAGTTCAGTAGTACAATCATGGCTTATTGCAGCCTTGACCTCCCAGGCTTAAGTGATGCTCATCAGGGACTGCAGGCTTGATAATGGAGGGCTTGATAACCTCAGCCCACAGAGTAGCTAGGACTACAGGAGTGTACCACCACCATGCCTGGCTAGGTTTTTAACAAAACATTTTTTGTAGAGATGGGGGCGGGGGGGTCTCACTATGTGTCCTAGGCTGGTCTCGAACTCCTGGGCTCAAGTGATCCTCCTGCCTCAGCCTCCCAAAATGTTGGGATTACAGGCATGAGCCACCATGCCCAGCCTGTCCTGCTAAGCACCATGTTGCGAGCTCTGTCCTGGGTTAAGGCGTGTGTCTGTTGCTTCTGGCTCCTGCATATCACTCTGTGGTGTCCATGTCCAGTCTCCCAGTGATGGGCACCTATGTTGCCTGCAGATTCCTAAGCCCATTAATGACGCTGCTACGAACAGTCTGGTCCACATGCTCTTATGGACCTGGGTATGTGAGAGTTTCTGTGAGTTACACACAAAGGAGTGAGATTTGCAAGTGGCCCTAACTACTCTCCAGGATTCTGTGCTAGTCCACACTTCCACCAGCAGGGCACAAGGGCTATTCCCCATAGCCTTGCCAACACTTGTCACCTCCCAGCTGTTTAATTTGCTACTCTAGTAGGCAGAAGTGACAGCTTTGTTTTGATTTGCATTTCTCTGATTACTTTCTTCACATGCATTTTGGCCTTTTGGGTTTCCTCTTCTGTAAACTGCTGCTTCTGTCCTTGCTCTGTGCACTGCTACTCACATGATGCCCTGCTTGAAGTAGCCACGGAAGGTGTCTGACTCATGGTACTGGACCTCTCGGTGCTGCACAGGGCTGCCTCCCAGGTAGTCGTCCAGCTGTGTGGTGTAGATGGCTGCGCAGCTCTGCTCATCCTGGGAGGAGTCCTTCCCGATCCAGAAGTGGATGTCCTGGGATAGGAGACTGGCCACTCTCCGGGTCTGAGGTGTAGCCAGAGAGATCAGGTCAGGGGCTAGCTCACCTCCCCTTTGCTGCTGGCCCCTCTGGCTTGAGGAGTATGAAGCACATGTGCCTACCCTTGGCAGACTCAGGGCCCTCTCTCCTGCAGTGGATGCGGGAGCTGCCTTGGCTCCCTGAGCAGACCTGCAATTATGGCATAAGTTTTGGCAGCCCAAATGTTCCCCACATTTGGGGAAAGTTGACAGCTTGTTGTTCCCCAAATAAATAGAAACCAACGGGCATCTTTTCCTAGCCGGGTTTCAGCTTACCTCACAGGTCCCCTTGGCCCCTTGCACTCACAGCTGGCACAGCGCTGATTGGTACACCTGTATGGCCCTGTCAGCACCATTCATGTCAGTCTTCTCCATGGGGATGAGCACTTTGAGGCTGGAGACAGGCCTTTATCTGGCCTTTTTCCACACCACTTTAATGTGGGGCTAGGCCTGGGAGAAGTGCTGCTTGTAGGTGGCTCACTGAGGTTCTGACGGAGGGCCCTCCCCACATCCTTTGATGCAGAATTAAAACCCCAGGCCTAATGATGGCCTTTGGTAGTCAGACTGGAAGTCTGCTCTGCATAGTGCTGAGGAACCATTGAGATGGATACAAGGGACTGCCTGCCTTCCCTCACCAGCACATCTCTCTGTAGAGTTCAAGAACTGGCCCGAGGGGAGGAGCTCACAGGAATGAGGAGGAGGGTGCTCACCGAGAGGATGACGTAGCAGTCCCCCTCATAGAAGTTGCCATGAGCACTCACAGGCACCAGCGCCAACTCCATTTTCTGGAAGGACAAGGGGTGGGTGTAGGATGCATCCCCTCCTGCCTCCCTTCCTCACAAGCCTCCCTCTCCTCTGTCACTTGGTGCACGTGGTAGGGAGAAGGAAAGGAGATGTTCCTGATGACCTTCTAGGACAAGAGGCAGCCAGCCACAGGGTTAATGTGGCCACCCCTCTGGCTTCTGTGAGCTCTGCTTACATCACCCTGGATCTGAATCTGGGTCCCTATCCTGCTTTCCCCTCACCCTAGTCTCCTCTCGACTTCTCACCTGGTCTCATCTCACTCTGTTGTGGGAAGCCTGTGAGCCACCTCCAGCCATTTGCTGGATATAAACAACCAAGTACAAACCCTTCTCTGAGCCGTTGTGCCAGCACCTCCAACACTCTTCCCAATGCTGACCGCTGGGTACTGGCCCAGGCCCATGTAGGAAAGAACACTTGGATTCTGCGGGGCTGTGGGAGGTGGAGGATAACATTTGGGGAGTGCCAGCGGTCAGCAGGGCTCTGTGCCAAGTGTCTTATATTTGGAGTCTGGGTCAGGGCTCTGATCTGTTACTGCATGTATGGCTGGGCCCTGGAAGGCTGTTCACACACCCTTGATGTAGATTTTTCATTACTCTCTCCAGGTGTGGGAAACTTGCAGCCATACTTGTGTGTGTTCTACATAAACTGTGTTAAATGTTAAATACACTGCAAATCTGCTAACCCTGTTTTAGTACCTGTTAGTTTTTAAGGAAACTGGTAGCCTTAAAACAATGGAAGTGACCTGGGCCTCACAGTCTCTGTGATGCTTGCTGGAGAGCTGACTCCCCCTCCTGGCTGAGGATAGTGAAGTGAGGCACCACCTCTGGGTTTTATGTAGCAGCAACTGACAGGGCTGGGGCAGGGGTTGGGAGGAATCCTCATACCTGGCAGGTGGAGCTACCCAGGCCAGGGTGGTTCTCAGCTATGGATTGCTGGAGCTCACAGCCACCCAGAGGGGCTCAAGCCCAAGTGGAGATGGGATGAACAGTGCCTCATCTCTGCAGTTCCCCCTCAGTTCTCTCCATACTTTATAGGCGCCAGGGTGCCCTTTGGAAGACATGTTCCATTTCTCTGATGGAAGCCGCCAGGAGTCTGCTGGGTAGGTCCCACCTGTCTTTCTAGGGCATTTCCTGCAAGTGCAGACTTACTGAGCAGGTGGCTGGATAAAGGACAAGCTTGTTTTTGCCTGAAGCCCTGTTCTCTGGGGCTGAGCATTTCCTCCACCTGCCAACCACCTGCTTTGAGCACCCAGGAGAGGTGAAGGATGGGAAACAAGTACTTTGATGCTGCATCTCACTGTCCTCAAACCACAGGCAAAGGTGTGCTGGTGGGCTGTTGCCTAGCAGCCCCAGGCAGCCAGACTCTGCTTCCAGATTCCCATGGTCATAACTAAGGTGCCTCCAACCCAACTCACCTCTATTCTCCAGATGATGATCCCAGGGTCGTTGTCCACAGCCCTGAAGGCACTGCTCAGAGACATGGTGCTTGTCTTTCCAGGACTGAAATGTCACAGAGCAAGAGGGGAGATGATGCCCTTCACTGTAGTGGACATCAATCCAGTTTTTCTGCTAAGTTACTTCCCAGTCTCTTAGCCATCCTGCCACACCTTCATGGTGTATCCCTGCACCATTTCACAATGATGGGAGCAAGGACTTGTTCAAGTGCACATAGTAAGCCTGGCTGACCTGGGGATTACCATCCATGAGTTCTGCTTCCCACCTACCACTGCCCTAAAGAGCTCCTCCGGTCATCGTCATGGTTATTTACCAAAGGGGTGATAAATATGTTAAGCCCTGTATTGATTCATTTTGCATATGTTATCTCTAATTTTCAGAAGGTGATTTTCTTCATCTTACCTTGTGTGAATTTGAGGTTTAGAAAGGCTGAATAACTTGCACAAGATCACACACTAGAATGAAATGCTTATCTGATCCCCAAACCTGTGCTTCTAGCCACTTTGATGTACTACAACCCTTCCCAAACCAATCTAAGTTCAGTGGCATTTGGACAGAAAAGCTAGTCAGAAAAAGTATTTCCAAACTGAGTTGATGTCTCTCACTCTCATTCCCTCTAATTCTTTCCAAGTTCCCTGCTTGCAAGGCCTTCTCCACAGTCGACTTTGACCTCCTCTTTGTCTTTTATCTTGTGTTTTTTTAAAGTAAACTATTGTAAAACTCAACGCTTCCCTCTTTTGTCATATGACTATTATATTCCCTGTGCTTTCCAGATGCAAAGGAAAATAAAATGGCAGGGCGGGCCTGGGACAAAGGGTTCTGGGTGCCAGCAGGGTGTGGCCTGGTCTGGCCTCTGGACAGATGGCTTCTTCTCTCCCTCCCACACAGACCCAAGCTTCTCTGTGTAAGTGTGAACCTCAGATACTTAGACCTCTCCAGTTCCTTCAGGACTGAGCAAGTCAGGGTGGGGAGAGGGAGGAAGTGGTGAAGATCTGAGTCTGTGTGGGTTGTGCACCATCTGTATTCAAGGAGCATCTTGGGTAATGAAGGACCTACCCATGTCCATGGTCACGTAGAGGCTTTATAGAAGTAAAATACCTACTTCTTGCTCTCAAGGAGCTTTAAATCTAATGACATGAATAATTAATGTAAACTAGATTAATTTCTCCCGAGAAGCAAAGGAAAAAGGATGAGGTTGATGGATTTACATAACATTTAAAAATTTTCACCCAAAAAGGACTGTATCGATTTTTGCTATGTGGGGACATACTGCGCTTGTTAAGAGGAACATGTCTGACCATTCTTTTCGTGAACGTTGAAGGACAAAGCCAAGTTTGGAAAACATGTACCATTATCTAGTATGGACTTTGGCAAAAAAAAACCCAAAACAAAACATAAAGCACAAAGCAAACTCCCTTTGTGTACTGCTGTAGCAGGACTACAGCAAGGCAGTGGTGCGGAGCAGCCAGTGTTTGAGAATTTGATTTGATGACTTGTGCTGCCCCACCCAGTGCTGCTCAGAATTGCCAGGATATATGGTGTTTGGGTTTTCTTCAGACCCTATGTAGCAGGCGTTAAAGGCAAAAGCCATGAGCAAACTAGGGGAAGGGGACAAGGGCCAGTGAATTCATTCTTTGGGACAGAGAACTGTCACCTTGGTAAAAGCCAGCATTAATTAGGACTGTGAGCCTCAGAGGCTGAATCCTGTCCCATTTCCCAGCAGGAATTTAGGAATCAAGGAGCTCACTGGTGTAGGCACCCCAAATGTAAGAGAGGAGGATAAGCTCCAGGAAGGGACTTCCTGCCACACTGGAACCCACGGAAAACAAAATTCTGACATCAAAGTCTCCCAAAGCTGGGTCTCTCCTTCTTTCCTCCCTAATTCTAATTCAGTATCATTTGAGAGGTCTGTGAAACCCCTTGTGGGAGTACAGTTTTGAAATTTCAGGTTAAAAGCCAGTGGCCTTTAATTCTCAGAGATGCCCTTATGAATGGACCCTGAGCAGAGGAAGCTGTTTTGTTGTTTTTGAGACAGGGTCTCTGTCACCCAGGCTGTAGTGCAGTGGTATGATCACAGCTCACTTCAATCTCCACCTCCTGGGCTCAAGTGATCCTCCTGCCTCAGCCTCCTGAGAAGCTGCGGCTACTGGTGTCCACCATCATGCCTGGCTATTTTTTGATTTTCTGTAGAGAGAGGTTCTCACTATTTTGCCCAGGTTGGTCACAAGTTACAATTCCTGGCCTCAAGCAATCCTTATGCCCTGGCCTCCCAAAGTGCTGGGATTACAAGTGTGAGCCACCTCTGTGGGCCAGGAAGCTGGTTTTAACTCCTCCTGCCTTGCTCCAGACCATCTTTCTCTAAGGATAGGTGAAAGGGGTCTGTCTTTCCCAGCTTTTGAGGATGTGCCCTGTATGTTCAGTTCTCTCTAAGAGCTTCTACTTCTCAACAAGAAGTTTGCAAAACTGGCCAGACTCCTGGTTCATTTGTAAAGTCTCATCTCAGAAGACAAGGCAAGGGACTCTCAAGCTCCTCTTCCTTTCATTTCTTCCTCATTCAGGATTTACTGGCATGCCCCTCGAAAATCAGAGATCTTACCTTGCCTTCTTGCTCACCAGTCTTCCCAGTTTCCCAGCGAGTAAGCAGCAGCAGTATTGAAGAACCACTCCAAAGCAGGAGGCTCTAGGTCCTGCTGCCTTAGCTTAGCAATGGCTGCAGAGACACTGGGTTATATTTGCTTGTGTTTGCATCTTAACCGCATTTTCCTAGTACTGGCCAATCAGAGCCAATCTAGCCCTGGGCTTGACTTATTCAAACCAGAGGGAAAGCTTTATCTGTGCCTATTCAAAACAGCAAAACAAGAGCAGACTTCTAAAGGCTTCTTTTCTCTTTTAACTCCAGCTCCACGCCCTGATCTAATTGATTTTTTAAAAAGTGCACACAGCCCATCAATAATGCAGGGAAGAGGGTGGAAGGATTTGATATTTGCCATATTGTAGATATGGATGCATTATGGTGATGACAGGAGGCAGAGGTTGGAGCTGCCCTGTTAGTGCCTGTGATGTCTAGGCTGGCAAGAGCCTCCCTAAGAAGCTTCTGGTGTTTCTCAAAGGGAGGGGAAGTCTGGGAGAGAGGCCAGAATTCTATTAGGCCACAGTTTTGCTCGTTGGGGTCCTACTAGTCATACTGTAAACCAGTCGGTATTTGAGTGCCCACTGTGTGCCAGGAACCATGCTGCACTCTCAGCTTCAAGGTTCCCGGTTTGGGAGAGTCAGTGAGGAGCAGAGAAGAATCAAGACTCCATTCCCAGGGCTGGGTGCGGTGGCTCATGCCTGTAATCCCAGCACTTTTGGGAGGCGGAGGCAGGCAGACTATAGGACTGAGGTCAGGAGTTCAAGACCAGCCTGCCAAGATGGTGAAAACCATCTCTACTAAAAATACAAAAGTTAGCCTGGTGCAGTAGTCTCAGCTACTTGGGAGGCTGAGGCAGGAATATCGCTTGAACCTAGGAGGCGGAGGTTGCAGTCAGCCGAGATCACGCCACTGCACCCCAGCCTGGGCAACAAAGCAAGACTATATCTCAACAACAACAAAAAAAGACTTCATTCCATTAGAGCTTCTGGTTCATGCCCAGAAGTCAATAGGACATCAAGCATATATGCTTGCTAAGCACCTGACTGCAATAGGGTTGAACACAGCAGAATCTTGTGTAACCTTGAGGAGAAGCCCTGTGCAGCATCTGCGGCTGGCCTCCCGGCAGGTGCAACACCCCACTCAGCCTGGGGGATACAGCTGCTTCATGACCAAAGGGGTTTCAAGAAGAAAGGTGGTGCTTGCTAAGGGCCCGATGAACACCAGCAATCGGCGGCAGCTCACATTCCTGGATAGGTTTTTTAAACCCGCTTTTATTAATTAATTGTAAGTAATACAAATATTGCAAAAATATAAACAGACATTTAATGGCGTCCTACATTTCAAGTTTTTGAATACAACAAATTTATCAAACCATGAATCTGTAAGCAAGGTAGTCAGAATCCCATAGCCCAGCCACAGTGAGAAGCAGATCCCCTACCCTCCAAGTGGCATCTAGGAGGAGGAAAGCGGCATGAGATGGAACATAAGCAAAGAAGCTCACAAGGCCCAAAGAGAAGGGTCGGCCCCAGGGGCAGGCCCTATGTTAAAAGAATGGGGCAGCTGGCCTGACCGCTGGCCTCCTCTTCCCTGGCTGAATGTACATAGTTACTGGCATTTAGAAAAAAGGAGAAAAAGATCTAAACCCGTTTAGAAAAAAGGGACCCAGGGAGAACAGTGGTTAAGTAATCCACTGAGGAGCTGAAGGGGAAAATGAACTTACTTTCTCATATAGTTAGCCTGGCTAGGACACTGGGGGCCGAACAGTTTTCTGAGAGGACTTTCTTTCTAAATGAGGCCTCAAGAACAGGCAGGGGCAGCAGAATAGAATTAGCATCCATTTCCCAGGGAAAGACTGCCTTTAGACTTCCCATGCTTTTAGCACAAAGCGGCGTCTGGGCCACTGTTACCAGAGGTGAGTTTATACATTTACAAAATGCTTAAAATCTTTGGGAGGCCGGAGGGAGCTAAACAGAAGGTCTCAGGTTAACCGAAGGCAAAATTCACTCAACCTCTCTAGTAAGGGACCCATGGGCCTACAGAGTGTCCCCTCTACAATGTGCAGAGTGGAAACCCTTACCTGACCCTTTCCCAAACTGGTCCTGTGTCCAAAGCTCCCCCTATGAGAGGGACACGAACATCAGGCTTTTGATTTAGAAGCCCAATCAGAGAGACACACTGTGTCCCTGAAGAGGCACCTTAAAAGAACTGAACCTGGCAGGTAAGCAGATTCCTGGCATGGCTTGAATTGGTGCTGACCAGGCATGGTGGCCTATTGCCTCCCAAAGATGTCTCAAGTGGGAGGGGCTGATAGTGGGAAGCCCTAAAACAGAGTCCGGGATGAAGTCGCCTCCTCCCCTGCCTTGCCCTCCAAAATTGAGTCTGGCCTGATTTCCTCTGAGGAGCAAATTTTACAATCATGCCTCACCCTGACACATGGTGAAACTGGAAACCTGACAGTAAATAATGACTAGGCTGTCTCTGGTCCACATGAATGGACCCTGCCTAGGTTTGGCTGAGTTGCTTCTCTGGGGAAAGTGGGAATAGCATTGCTGTGGAGGAGCTGCAGGTGGGCAGGCAGGGTTCTGATGGGAGTGAGGCTGAGAAAGCAGGGGCTTCATGCAGACACAGCAGGGACACTCCCACCAAGCCATCCTGGGCTTTGGTCATGGGTCCCACACCATGCACTTGGAAAGCCTGTTAGGAAAGGGGGCAGCACATGCTCTTCCTCCATCTGGAAAAACATGGAGATCCAAGGGAGGGCGGAAAGGGTCCTCGCAACTCAGTCAGCTTAGAGCCTCTTATTGCTTATTTAGTCAGAAAAGCCTGGCTGGGCCCAGATGGCAGATTTGGCCAAGGGCTAAACCTTAGGGTGGGGCTTGGAAGAGAGGCTCCTCCTGCAGTACTAGGAAAGCAGCCTAGGCCAGGCCTTGGGTCCGAAGCCACAGTGGGCTGTAAGGGTCTGAGATCCTGCATTCTTTCAGGAGACGGTATTCCTGGTTAGCACGTGGGGCCCTTTTCCCTTTAGGTAGAGCAGGACCCCACAGGCACAATGCTGGGGGAAATGACCACATGAATTTTGGGGGACTCTGTTCCACTTTATCATACCAGAGAAAGACAAGGCCTTAAAACCTTGGGACAATGAGGAAAGGTGGCACCACTACGCTAAAGGAAGATGCCAGCCAGCCACTGCTCACAGCACCAAGCTGCTGCTCTACCGCCTGCTTTTCTGGAAACTCGTTCGTTCCTGAGGCTGGACCTAGGGTGTGGAAATATAAGGGATGATGGGGAGGAGTCCTGAGTGGGTGGTGTCCCTGCACTAGAAGCAGTTCACAAATGTTTTGTGATACCTGCCTCCAGGGAACACAGCGATGGGAATAGGAGCTCCCTCCCACCCTAGGAGAAGGGAGAGAACCCCACCCACCCCAGGGAGGCCACGATTAAGGCAGTGATGCTGCGGTGGGACTCCTTTTTGGGAGGCCCTTGTGCTCCCAATTACAGCAGCACTTCCTCTTGTTTTCCACCCTGGGAAAACTTCAATTTTGTGATGACTTTAAAGCATTCACTATTAAGAATCTTTGAACGCAGGAGACACCCAGAGTGCAGGTCTATGAGGGGCTCACTCCCTCCTGTTACCAGAGGCAGGAAGCAGGCGCATTAGGTTGGCACTCATTCCTCCTCAGCCCAGGAAGAGCAAGAATTCTGGCCCTTAAAAGGAAAAGCAACAGCCAGGAAGGATGAAGGCCGGAACAGACAGAGCTCGGTACAGGATGGGCCCTGGGGGAAGACACAACAGGAAAGAGCCCTGCCCAAAAAATGGGAGGGGCTGGGGCAGCTTTAGTTCTTCCCAGCCTTTGGAACACAAGTCCTTGCACTAGCAGAGAATCCCTGAAAAGCAGACTTATGGAAATGATCCCGAGCTCAGCTGATCCACAAGCCCCGGGGACACACATGTCCATGCTTTGAGGATTTGTCTTCCCTGCACCCCCAGCACCACCGACATTCATCACAGGCCCAGGACTGTAGCTTTGTCTGAAACAAAACAGGCCCAACACTGTGTTTAGAAGAGAATTTTAAAACAGAATCAAAAGAACGGAAATCAGTTATCTGTCCTCTTCTCAGGCAGGGAGAAAACCTCCTTCCCCCCAGGTTTGAGACTATGGCTAGGTGGTGAGGAAGGTAGGCTTAGCAACCCAGCCTTGGGGAGACACAGAAAAGGCCCGTCCCAGGCACTCAGCTGGACGCAAGCATAGCCTTTGGGCCACAAGCCCTGATGATGGCCACTGAGGTGCTGGTCTGGAATCAAGTCCTCATCTTCCCAGAAATGTCATCTTTTGTCTGCAGCAGCTGGCTGGAGGATTTCAGAAAGGTGCGTGCCTGGAGCACCCAAAGGCATACCTTCCTTTCTCCTTGGCATAGGCCTTACAACACTGAGGAAAGGCCATGGTTTGGCAATGGAGCCTTCAATAGTCTCCATCCTTATAGAGCTCAGTGGCTCCTAGGGTGACAGGAGAGGAGGCAAGCTCACTTGGGAAGTCTTGGTCTTTTAGCTTCTCCCCCAGTGAAACACTATATGCTGGGGCCACAGTTATGACAACACACACACACATACACACACTCTCTCTCTCTGTCACACACGCATGTTGACAACTTGGCGCAGGTAGCTCTGGGTATCGTTGTCTGGCATTTGCTCACTCGGCATCTAGGTTGTCCTAAAGCTCTTTCCAATCACTTCTCGCTGTTTCTGGGCTGTATGGCGAAGTGCTCCAGCTTCCACTCTGTCACACTAATCATAAAGGCACAGTGTGGGAAAGTCCCCTACTGGGATGGCCATCGCCTGGAAGCAGGGAAGGCTAAGGGGCCCGCAGCTGCCCAAGGCTGGTGTAGACGTCCTCTGCTCCGCTCAGCTCCTCAAAGATTGGGATCAGGTTCAGCAACTCGGTGTCTGCCATGTCATCAAACCAAGACTGCACAGGCACCTGGGGCAGGGAAGATGTGGTGTCAATCTCCCAAGTGCTGCTTCCCCCTTCCTTCGCCCCAGAGCCCTAGAGGGTGGCTGGGTCTTCCCAGAGGGGTGTGCTTCTCTGGTGGAGCCCACAGTTCCACAGCCTGCTTCCTCTCCCAGTCCCAGCCATGGACACATGTCAAGAACACTCACTGCATTCTCAGGGTGGAAGATGTAAGAAGCAGGCGAGTTGTCCAGGATGAGAGTCTTCCTCAGGTCCCTCCCCAGGCGGCTGAGGTCCTTGACGTAGCAGCCCTGGTGAAACACGCAGGACTCACGGAATAGGCGGGCCCGGAACACCCCACACCGGTCCAGCAGGTCCGTCACAGGGTCGGCATACTAGGAGGAGAGAAGATGCCTAAGTTTGAATGCAGTCCTGGTCCTTCTCTGGCACCCTGGGTACCAAAAGGGAGCTGCTGGACCACCCCTGTGGCCACCACACCCACTCCTGGTTCTTCCCTCCCACCCCTAGGTACCTTGGCCAGGCTGGCAGTGAAGAGAACACATTCAAAGAGTTCCCCCATGCGTCTCAGGAACTCATCCACATAAGGCCTCTTGAGCACATACACCTGAGGAAGAGCAGAGCAGCCTGTTGGAGGTGTCCCTGTGATGAAGCTTTACAGTACTGGGTACCTTCACCAGTTACACAGAGAGCAGCAAGCAGCTCTCAACCCCTGCAGCCCAGCCTCCTGGACTACCTGGCTAGAAGCCTGTGGCCCCACAAACCCGGGGAACTGGCTGCACCCCCTCACCAGGCCTCCAATGCATCAGTGGTCCCAACCTTAACCTGGCTCAGGAAGAAGAGCATACACCATGTCCGGGAGCCGTCTGTGTTTCCAGCGGTGGACCATCAGCTGCCTCCAGAAACAAGTAATCAAGAATAGGCCTCACAGATGGAAACAGCCTATCCTGGATTACTTGAATCCAGCCACAGCCTCTATGGAAATTTTCTCTCCTTGGTTCCAGCAAGACAGTCTGTCCAGGTCACCATCACTGCCCCAGGAAGAAGTGACTTTTTCCCCTCAATGACCACAGACTAGACACTCTGCACCCCTGATTTTGTGCTTGCTCCTGCCAGCCACTCCTAATACCTGTG